AGAACGTTACAGTGACGGTCGTGTTCAGGTGTAACGTCGGCCGCAACAACGTTACAGTGACGGTCGTGTTCAGATGTAACGTTGGCCAAGAGAACGTTACAGTGATTGTCTTGTTCAGGTGAAATGTCGGCCGTGAGAACGTTACAGTGACGGTCGTGTTCAGGTGTAACGTTGGCCAAGAGAACGTTACAGTGACGGTCGTGTTCTGGTGATACGTCGGCCAAGAGAACGTTACAGTGATTGTCTTGTTCAGGTGTAACGTCGGCCAAGAGAACGTTACAGTGACGGTCGTGTTCGGGTGTAACGTCGGCCAAGAGAACGTTACAGTGACAGCCGTGTGTGGGTGTAACGTCGGCCAAGAGAACGTTACAGTGACGGTCGTGTTCAGGTGGAACGTTTGTTAGGAGAACGTTACAGTGGCGGTCGTGTTCAGGTGTAACGTCGGCCGCAACAACGTTACAGTGACGGTCGTGTTCAGGTGTAACTTCGGCCTTGAGAACGTTACAGTGACGGTCGTGTTCAGGTGTAACGTCGGCCGTGAGAACGTTACAGTGACGGTCGTGTTCAGTTGTAACGTCGGCCAAGAGAACGTTACAGTGATTGTCTTGTTCAGGTGAAATGTCGGCCGTGAGAACGTTACAGTGACGGTCGTGTTCAGGTGTAACGTTGGCCAAGAGAACGTTACAGTGACGGTCTTGTTCAGGTGTAACGCCGGCCGTGAGAACGTTACAGTGACGGTCGTGTTTAGGTGAAATGTCGGCCAAGAGAACGTTACAGTGATTGTCTTGTTCGGTTGTAACGTCGGCCAAGAGAACGTTACAGTGACGGTCGTGTTCAGGTGGAACGTTTGTTAGGAGAACGTTACAGTGACGGTCGTGTTCAGGTGTAACGTCGGCCCAGAGAACGTTACAGTGACGGTCGTGTTCAGGTGTAACGTCGGCCAAGAGAACGTTACAGTGACGGTCGTGTTCAGGTGTAACTTCGGCCTTGAGAACGTTACAGTGACGGTCGTGTTCAGGTGTAATGTCGGCCGTGAGAACGTTACAGTGACGGTCGTGTTCAGGTGTAATGTCGGCCGTGAGAACGTTACAGTGGCGGTCGTGTTCAGGTGTAACGTCGGCCAAGAGAACGTTACAGTGGCGGCCGTGTTCGGGTGTAACGTCGACCAAGAGAACATTACAGTGACGGTCGTGTTCAGGTGTAACGTCGGCCGTAACAACGTTACAGTGACGGTCGTGTTCAGGTGAACGTCGGCCAAGAGAACGTTACAGTGACGGTCGGTTCAGGTGTGTTCAGTGACGGTGTGTTCACGTGTAACGGCCGTGAGAACGTTACAGTGACGGTCGTGTTCAGGTGTAACGTGACGGCCAAGGTGAGAGAACGTTACAGTGACGGTCGTGTTCAGGTGGAACGTTTGTTAGGAGAACGTTACAGTGACGGTCGTGTTCAGGTGGAACGTTTGTTAGGAGAACGTTACAGTGGCGGTCGTGTTCAGGTGTAACGTCGGCCGCAACAACGTTACAGTGACGGTCGTGTTCAGATGTAACGTTGGCCAAGAGAACGTTACAGTGACGGTCATGTTCTGGTTCAGGTGTAACGTTCGGTGAAACGGCTGCCGTGAGAACGTTACAGTGACGGTCGTGTTCAGGTGTAACGTTGGCCAAGAGAACGTTACAGTGACGGTCGTGTTCTGGTGATACGTCGGCCAAGAGAACGTTACAGTGATTGTCTTGTTCAGGTGTAACGTTGGCCAAGAGAACGTTACAGTGGCGGTCGTGTTTAGGTGAAATGTCGGCCAAGAGAACGTTACAGTGACGATCGTGTTCAGGTGTAACGTCGGCCAAGAGAACGTTACAGTGACGGTCATGTTCAGGTGAAATGTCGGCCAAGAGAACGTTACAGTCACAGTCGTGTTCGGGTGTAACGTCGGCCATGAGAACGTTACAGTGACGGTTGTGTTCGGGTGTAACGTCAGCCAAGAGAACGTTACAGTGACAGCCGTGTGTGGGTGTAACGTCGGCCAAGAGAACGTTACAGTGACGGTCGTGTTCAGGTGGAACGTCGGCCAAGAGAACGTTACAGTGGCGGCCGTGTTCGGGTGTAACGTCGACCAAGAGAACGTTACAGTGACGGTCGTGTTCGGGTGTAACGCCGGCCAAGAGAACGTTACAGTGACGGTCGTGTTCAGGTGTAACGTCGGCCGTAACAACGTTACAGTGACGGTCGTGTTCAGGTGAAACGGCGGCCGGGAGAACGTTACAGTGACGGTCGTGTTCAGGTGGAACGTTTGTTAGGAGAACGTTACAGTGACGGTCGTGTTCAGGTGGAACGTTTGTTAGGAGAACGTAACAGTGATGGTCGTGTTCAGGTGAAATGTCGGCCGTGAGAACGTTACAGTGACGGTCGTGTTCAGATGTAACGTTGGCCAAGAGAACGTTACAGTGATTGTCTTGTTCAGGTGAAACGGCGGCCCGGAGAACGTTACTTTGACGGTCGTGTTCGGGTGTAACGTCGGCCAAGAGAACGTTACAGTGACGGTCGTGTTCAGGTGGAACGTTTGTTAGGAGAACGTTACAGTGACGGTCGTGTTCAGGTGGAACGTTTGTTAGGAGAACGTTACAGTGACGGTCGTGTTCAGGTGGAACGTTTGTTAGGAGAACGTTACAGTGATGGTCGTGTTCAGGTGTAACGTCGGCCGTGACAATGTTACAGTGACCGTCATGTTCAGGTGTAATGTCGGCCGTGAGAACGTTACAGTGACGGTCGTGTTCAGGTGTAACGTCGGCCAAGAGAACGTTACAGTGACGGTCGTGTTCTGGTGTAACGTCGGCCGTGACAATGTTACAGTGACGGTCATGTTCAGGTGTAATGTCGGCCGTAAGAACGTTACAGTGACGGTCGTGTTCTGGTGATACGTCGGCCAAGAGAACGTTACAGTGACGGTCTTGTTCAGGTGTAATGTCGACCAAGAGAACGTGACAGTGACGGTCGTGTTCAGATGTAACTTTGGCCAAGAGAACGTTACAGTGACGGTCATGTTCTGGTGATACGTCGGCCAAGAGAACGTTACAGTGACGGTCGTGTTCAGGTGTAACGTCGGCCAAGAGAACGTTACAGTGACGGTCGTGTTCAGATGTAACGTTGGCCAAGAGAACGTAACAGTGATTGTCTTGTTCAGGTGAAACGGCGGCCGGGAGAACGTTACAGTGACGGTCGTGTTCGGGTGTAACGTCGGCCAAGAGAACGTTACAGTGACGGTCGTGTTGAGGTGGAACGTTTGTTAGGAGAACGTTACAGTGACGGTCGTGTTCAGGTGTAACGTCGGCCAAGAGAACGTTACAGTGACGGTCGTGTTCTGGTGATACGTCGGCCAAGAGAACGTTACAGTGACGGTCGTGTTCGGGTGTAACGTCGGCCAAGAGAACGTTACAGTGACGGTCGTGTTCGGGTGTCATATCGACCATGAGAATGTTACAGTCACGGCCGTGTTCGATGTAACGTTGGCCGGGAGAACGTTACAGTGACTGTCGTGTTCAGGTGAAACGTCGGCCAAGAGAACGTGTGACGGTCGTGTTCGATGTAACGTTGGCCGGGAGAACTTTGCAGTGATAATTTTGTTTGGGTAATTTAATCAGTTCAATGCGTCGTAGATGTATGATTTTCATCAAGGCGAATAGCAGACAAACACAGTATTGTATTTGTGACACTGGATTTGCACTCCTGTTTCTGTTGCTATAAATTTCGATCCCGATTAACCAATCATTTTATTCAATGAGCGATTATAAAGACAATGCAGTACAAAGCATGCTTTTGAGAAAAAAATATCGCTCTTCCATCAGCTTGTTGCGATGGTTTAATGGTTAGGCAGTTTCAGAATTTCTTAGCATGGGATTTGCTGCCGTAGACGTAGATCGTGAGTTCGAGGCCCGGACAGGGCACGGATAAAAATGTGCTGTTTCTTGTTTCGTCAATTGTGTTATGTCCAATGTTTTTGTGATATATAGTTATATATAATAAAATTGAAATTCTAATAAAATGAAAATAATGTCTCATTTAATACAGCGTAAGCACTTTCTAACACACCACACACACTCACACATACACACCCACACACCACACATACACGCTCACCCTCATACGTCACACACACCACACACCACACACACACACACACACAAATACACACACACACACACACACACACCCTCACGCACACACACCACACACACACCACACAACACACACTCACCCTCAAACATCACACACACCCTCACACACCACACCACACCCACACCCTCAAACATCACACACACACACACACACACACACACACACACACACACACACACACACACACACACACACACACACACACACACACACACACACACACACACACACACACACACACACACACACACACACACACACACACACACACACACACACACACACACACTCACACACACATATGTAGATAAGTAATCTTCTTTTTATCGATCTGATCGTAAATGGTTAAAGGGCTGGTCTCTGCTGAAATGGTTGTGCCCTTGGGCAAGTCAGTTTGCCGGAATTGCTCTGGACGGCATGCGGAGAGCCTCCCGCATGATATTCAGTGAGTCAACCACTAGCTACGGAAAGATATTCCGCCTCCAAACGACAAGGCTGTCCACAGGACGATAAACCCAGCAAACGATTATGAATTTCTCTGTTACCACTTGTGGCAGGACTCTAAGGATTGTCGTAACGAAGAAAATGTATTCAGAAGACAAATAATCCATATCAAACTTTTACTTCGTTTGGACTCTTGGTGCGATCTTTGTGAAGAAAAATAGCAAACAACTAAAAAGTATTGATATATAATTATTATGCTTTAATGAGGAAAATTGCCATCCATATGACAAGACAAGATTACACTATGATTAACCAGTTGGTATTTGATAAATGGTTTTAATACAGTAAAAAAAAAATTATATTTCAACACAGAAGACATGTCACAATCAATATTTGTTCCTAGGAGATCCGCGATATTTCCGCGTTGGTATATGTCTGTCCATAGATTCCCGGCGCCTACGACCAACAACAGGGACCTGACCTCCAAAAGACGTCGTGGTTGCTGTCATTCCATACAAATCTTAAAGATATAAAAAAAAAATCATTAAAAGCATTGTTAGTATTGGCCAAAGCATCACTCTCAAATTTCCATGTACAGTCAGAATGTTTCAAAATGTTTTCAAATTTTCTCATATAATTGGATGGTGCCTTAAATTTGCCTTTTATCTTAAACTTTCAATTAACTTCCCGTTTACGTATATTCCTAACGTTTATTTACTGTTACTAATTTGTGTTAACTCGATTAGACAGCTGCTAAATCTGTTTCAAATTACATAAGGAAATGTGTAGGGAAAAAGACATCTCGAGGTCTTTTTATATGGCGTGGTATACTAACAGATAATAAGTGTCTGGATATTTCTTATAATAGATAATACAAGTTAGGATATTTCTTTTAATAAAGAAAAGGAGTCCGGATTTTCAATAGATAATGATTGTCTGGATATTTCTTTTGTTGTGAGCCTCATATCTAAGGGTTTGACTTTTGGCGGACATATTGCTTTTTTTAGCACATTTCCCTTCAGTATCTATACACACTTGCCAGCGATATCCAAGTGCCTTAATGTTACTATTAAAGAAGTCCTTTTCTTGACCGTCCAAAAAGTCCTCCACTGCTTGTATGACGTCATCATGTTACCGAAAGTGGGTACTGGAATTTTTTTTAAATGGTTGTTTACGTTATAAACTAGAATTGAACGTGTAGTAAAACCTTCAAAATAGTAAAATAGGGGGAAAAAATCAACTTTAGTCGACTTAACTATACTTACTGGTAATGGTCTGCTGGGGGGTAGCAGATGTCATAGATTTACTGGCATAGAGATTCTCTCGGTAAGATGTTGGCGGGAAGTTGTGACAAACCGGAAACCCTGCCGGAGGGGACGGATGTAAAGGATACGAGCTATTTATCAACATTCTCATACCCAGTGTTGCATGGTATTGAATATGACAGTGCATGATCCAAACCCCGGGATTATCGGCCTTGATCCTTATTACAGCATAGCCTCCACTTGGGATGATGAGTGTATCCTTCCGAGGGGGATTTTTCAGTTCCATGCCTGGCACGTTGTTTCCGCGCCAGTTCGGATCACGCCAAGTAGCGTTATTACAGTAGCTGATATCATCTCCACCACCTCTACAGTCGATATCGGTGTTTGGAGAAATGTATTTGGCGGTCGTTGCGTTGTAGGTAGCGTATCCCATTTTAAGTACGTAGAAGGAGTAACCATGCAGATGAACAGGATGAGCGTCACCCGTTCCTATTCCCATATTCAACAAGACAAGTTGCACGACGTCGTTGTGTTTAGTTGTTAATGAATGAGTACACTTGCATGTCTTGTCCTCGCCGCAGTCTTCTTTGTCGCAAGATGTCTCGATTTCGAAGGGCTGTGTCAGAGCAGAAACACTGGGATCCTCGAACTCGATTCCATTGATTGACGATATTTCAGTTGGTAGAGCGTAATTAAGAAAATGCTCTTTAAATGTATCAGCAGATGTTGGTTCAGGCGCAGGATCATCGTTCACTGCTGACCTGAGATGATCAAACCTCAGACAGTCAGTGTAATCACCAAATGGATAATTTGTAAAAGGACAGTTGACAACAAGACATCTGTTTGTCGGCGTACAATGTCTCCTGGTAGTGCTAGGTTCTACTAGTGGTGCCCCCTGGTATCGAAGAATAGCTTCTACTCGATGCAATTTAGTTTCAAGTGTTTCTGCCCGTATCCAGTAGTTTGAAACGCTTTGATTGGCTGTAAGGATAAAGTCGTATCTTTCTCCGGGATTTATTATAAACGATTCCGCCTCGACAGGTTTGACATCATAACCATCTGATGCAACAAGTGTTAAAGGATGATCGTCCACTGATACTCTAATGGGATATATGGCTCCTACATTGATAACCCGAAACCTCAACGCCTCTCCTTGAATCACAGAAAATACCGACAAGGGAGCTCCGTTGTTCTCGCCTGTCGTCGTGTTTTTGTAGTACCGCCCTCTACCGTTTATAAGAACAGAGGTAGCATAGAAAGGATCAAAGAAACCGCCATCAACTGACTGTCTTACATCCTCAGGAACTCGGTTCCAGAAATCACCGTACTGAAGCTTAAGGTGATCCATGTCGGCGCCCCAGAAGTGGTTCCAATCTTGAACTGTCATAATGTGCTCTTTCATCGTCTGATCCCGCTCTCTTATAACCAAAGCTCCATTGATACCCTTGGTCCGCTGATTACCTACATGAGAATGATACCAGTAAGTCCCGGATTGGTCAAGTGTGAAGTCATACGTGAACTTCTGTCCGGCGAGGATTGGACACTGTGTAACAAATGGTACACCATCCATCCACGGTGTTCCTCTTTGGTGAAGACCATGCCAGTGGATGGTAACGGTATCTGAGTAAAGCTTATTGAGGACGTGGATGATCAAGCGCTGTCCCTTGTACACAATGATCGGAGGACCAGAAAGAGTTCCATTTGCAACGACCACCAGTCTGTTTTCCTCCCAGCCATCAGCCGTCATAACCTCATCTGTGGGAATGGGTGTGGCTTTAGAAGGATCGACTACGTCATATTTGTAAATTTTGCCGTTATAAGGATACACTTGCTCTTCGACGTCATGCATCATTGTCAATTTCTTTTCAATCACCAAGCTTGTTTCACACACAGAAGCTGTTTTATCACACTCGAAACCGAGGCTCGAGGTGATTGACATGCCAAGGATAGCGATAATTATGAAGAGAACCTGTAAGATAACAATTGCATAAAATAACTAGTCCTTAACGTTTCAAAGATTCAAATTTGGTACTAATCTATTGACTGTGAAAAATGGATACCCGAACCTAGCTATAAACCCTCTCAAAGTAAGAAAACCATTTATACTTTTGATACTTCAAGAAACGACAAAATCAATCAGATTTTTTAAAAACAAACTGTTTTACTTTAAATTAATCAAACAAAGAAAGACACTTATCTACTTACCGTTTATTTGGTTAATTGACTCACATAGGCAGTCTGTTATTAATATATGTTTATTTTCTTCTTTTTCACAATTTTTAATCTAGAATATTTACATATATCTTTATCTATTTGCGTTATTTTCATAGATAATTTACTACCGCATTCTTAGGAAGGTTTTAGACAAATCAAGTCGATAAGTAAATCAGGATTTTTTTCTCTTTCCAAAAGTCACAATAAAAAATCCATGAGATCAACAACAAGATATATCATGTGAACAAAAGCATAATCAGAATTTAAACAAAATTAAAAGGAAACTGTTGCAATATGAACAGAAGAAAGATTTGGAAAAAGGATGATAAGACCAGGTGTTTCGGAAGAGTAAGCGTTTTCTTAGACGACACACACCTTGTAAACCTTAGTCAATCCACGTAAGTAATGTCATGTTCTCAAATGAGAACAAGGTACACAACAACGGAACCAACAGGCAAAGTAACCAATATCAAACACGTCCAGCGTCATGTCGCACAAAAATATAATATTTCTCAATGAGATTATTATGACAACCATAAAACCTGCTCATAATTGTCATCAACCTGCATCGTTTGATCCCTGTGACAAATTTTAAATGGAATCATTACACCGGGACAAATTGTGAAATCAAACAGAATGCAATGACGTATTATCTTGATTAACGTCTTATTCAGCACATTTACAAATCAAAGCAGGTTATGGATAGTATGTGTAAATATATCTGGATCTACTGTAGATAGCCATGTTTGTTTCTGGGTGCTTCAGGCCAACCCAAATACCATAAAAATTCTTTCGTTGCCAGGATACTGTAATCATTTACGTAAAAGTTGTTGAACTCGTTAACCTCAACCCGATGAACTTTTGTCATATGTCTACAATATCATACAGCGAATATGAGGATAGTATTTTAAAACATTCTATTCCAGCAGCCGCAACCCTAATTTTAGACTATAGAACAAACTTCATTTTTTGTCTCATATCGGATTACACCCTTAATCTACCTGCAACGAGAATTTGTGAATGAAGTCGGTTCTAAATTTAGGAATACAGTGTTTATCATTTCGTAAATTAAGGTCTAGAGTAATATGGTGGGTTTCTTCGTTGCCGAACCAGAAGATGTACTGGAGAATATGGTGTACTTCTTATACTTTCCAAAGGATTAACGATGTCATAGGCTGTGAATAAGAACTTTTGTTCATATCCTGTTATTAATTTGTTTTCCAGTTTGACAAATATGCGGTTTTCGGTTATACTTTCTAAATGCGTTGTAGTAAGTTTTGTAAACAATAGTTGTTGCCCACGGACATGTTTTTTATGAGGATTACAGCAAAGAAATAAATCAAACTATGGCGTTATTTCATTTTTACACACTATTGTTACGTCACGAAGGAAATAAAAATCAGCAAGAGGATTTTTTTTTTTTTTTAGAAAATATTTGCAATTTGCAATGAAAGCATCGAGAAACAGTCATTGAAAATTTCATGCTTTTACAAACTTTTCGTGAATTTTAAATAAAGTGAGTTCAGTTTAGCTGTTCCGAAACCGCAATAAACGCCAATTTAGTGACTTGATAACGCAATAAAAAAACTAAACACAAAAACTACTATGTTATCTACGAGAAGATTTGCGAAAATGAGTTCCATAAATCCAGTATCAAATCAAAACGAAGAGACCTTTCTCTCTAAACCTTGAGCTTCCCGTAGAGTTCTAAGTGCTTAATTTCTAACCAAGCTACTGATATTTTCCTAATCATCAGAACATGATATCCCTGGCTTTGTCAGTCATAACTGATCATTTCTACACAGCGTATTGTTGTATTGTGTTTTGATGAAGTAAGCGTTAATGACATCAGAACGTATTTAACAAATCGCAGACATGAACGTTTAAAAGAATTCCTTGAAGATCAAATAAATCACGGACTAGTATTTCGCCTTTATAAATATCTGGTCTTTAATAATAATGACTTAGTCGTAACTAATATCTTTTAGATTTAATGTACTTGAAGTATGGTTATCTTAAACAGAAATAAACTATAACTTACCATCTTTGCTGAAGGTGTCCTCAATTTGAGTGTCCTTTTTGTCCCGCTATGGTGAAATAAAACGCTGTCTTATGCCAGATTTGATCAACTTAGCTACTTATATAGAGCTATCTGTACCGGGTCAACTTAAAGGAAGGTAGGCGTCCTGATGAATATTGACAATGCGTCACTATTGGTACGTTAAATAACACGTGTTTACGCAACATGTGAACTCTTCACACCAGTTGATAACATCTGTAGACTACGAGCAAATTTGAAAATACACAGACTATGTTTAATAAAATGCCACTTTATTATATATTGTCATATATTTGATCATTATATGCATAAATGAAATTGTAAATATCTCCCAGTATCAATAATAAGACATAAGGATGGAAAACATAAGGATGTCAATGATGACAACATTAAAAATGTTACAAATAAATATACATCATGCCTTTCATGTCTAAAGCCAATAACTTTGTCAAGACACTTTTGATTTCCGTCGCTGTTAACAAACACGTTCTTTTTATTGTAACCAGTATCAATTGATTACAAATATTATTTGATTATTTTTACCTATTTCGAAATTGTATTGAAAGATACTATTCACTTCTGTGTCCTCTGTACAATCATCACCGCCACTACTTTCACAAACAAATATTCATATTTCAAAATATACCAATTGTCTGTTATATTTTCTGTAAACTTAATTTATTTAACAACAATTGAGAAACAGGCTATCAATATAAACGATCACTCTTGTTGGTCTGCATGGAAACGCGTTTAGAGTCTTACTGCTGGAAGAAACCGGAGCACCCGGGGAGAAAACCCACGTGGTTGGGCAGGTGAGCACATATCTTTTCACGTCCGTTCCGGGAATCGAACCCCGGGCTACTAGGTGAAAGGCGAGTGCAGTACCACTGTGACATCAGACCATCCAATGGTGATAATACTGATGAGATAGCTAGCTGTATGCTTATGGAGTATTACATTTCCTGCTTAGCGAAGTTACGTTAGGTGACATCGCAACGTCCAATATATTGTACAGTGTATATTTCCCAACATTTTCTTTCTTGACATTTGAGGTCAATGTTCATAAAAGACAATCTGGAGTCTGTTTCTACGAATAGATGACTATCAATGTGTTCTGGTATTAATGTCTGTGTTTAAGCATTTAGAGGAAGATCTGTTGTAGACTTTTATAGTTTAGAGGGAATTTCCTACTTTTCAGTGTCAATGGTAATTAAACGGGCGTGCGATAATGAAATGTAATCCTTAAATCCAATGTTGTGCAATATCCAAGACAGCTGTACTTGCAAGAAGATAGCATGAGATCACAGATTTCAAGAGTTGGCTAAAACTTTCTTGCGTCTTCGAATATTGTTCTTACAGAATGGCGTCATTTTAACCCAGTTTTGTCTCTTAAACGAGATTTTTAGGATATTAAACAAAAAATGAATAAATAAATTATCATTAAAAATAGTAATTATCTGAAATATATGTATGAAAGTAAATACATATATATATATATCAACACTGATATAAGATGTTACGTCTCCACATCTATTGATTGGTGAGTGGTGGGTCATCATAATAAAATCTCGTTTGATATTATCTTTTCTCAAATCTCTGTCATAGTTATACATAAGCTCATTTACATTTCACTCCCTTAGCAAAAAACTACATGCAAACCTTTTAAGAGACGGTCCCTTCGTAGTCTTAAAGTGAATTTGAACTTTGATTATGATTTTGATAGTTTTCGTAATTATTAAATTTTGAGCAATATTGAATTATTACCAAGCTACAACAACGTGCATTGTATAACAATACAAAACAAGTACTAATTGTAATGGGGACCATTACAAATGTCCCCCAAACGACCCCATCAGCAGTAAATTATCACAATAATCAGACCTGAAGTCTTGCCAAACATGGACTACGCCATTTTGCTCCTATAGCGCCACTTAATACATATATACAAATTTTCACGAAAATCGGACAATATCTAAAATTTGGCCAAATTTTTACCACAGATGACCGATTGGAAAAAATTCAAGTGGCCTGCACGAGATATTTCATTCAAGCATAAAATATTAAGCTAAAATATGACTACACGTATGCATATTTATCTCCCCAATGTATTGCATAATTCCGAAAAATATCCCTAATATAAAGCCAACATGTATAGCAGTCATGTTTACATACCAGCATTTCTATTGAAAGGAGGAATGTGCTTAGATTAAAAGTAAACCAAGTACAAAGTTTGATGTCAGCTGTAGAAAGCATCGCTCTTTTCTTTATCATAAATATAGCTTTGACATATATATACATATACAGTCATTATTTAGAACATTAATAGACAATAGGCAAAAGGAGAAGAAAAACTAAAAGGGAAAAAAATGTTGTGAGAATAACAAAGTAATCACATCCGACTCCTTGTGAAAATGCAGATATCTGATGTCTAGATTTCTGTATAAGGCTTAGTTTAAATGGAAAATTCTATGAGAAAACGGTAATGATTTTGGCAAAAGATGACCATTTTATTAAGGAATCGAATCCAAAGATAAAGGCGGAGCATTTAATTTTAAGTAGGAATGATCAAAATTAAAGAAATGCTACCTGATGACTTTTTATGAAGCCATAGCTGATTACAGCCAGCGGTTTAATTAAGAGACATAAGAAAATTGTTTGAGGAAGAAATTGAATTATTTAGTTTTGTACTTACCACGAGCTGTTATTATGGTAACCTAGAACACATATAAGCAAAATAATTACTCATTCAAGTAGAGAACAACACTAGATTCTGTTGATTTGTAATATAGTAGACCTGTTGTCGGTGGTACCAACAGTAATACGCAATGTCACAATCAATTTCTCGTTATAATTCAAAATCTCTTTGTAATTCTATTAAAAAAGAAAAAAAATAACTTTATTTAACTGTTTACCGAGAAATATCGTTTGTAATTCCAAATTACTTAATCGTAACTTTGTATGAAACGGTTCTCAATCACCTAGGCTTGATAGCTAATAAGCATTGGTTCTAAGTATTAATTCCAAGGGTTATGGAAATTATTCTTGAAAGGAATGCTCTCTATTTTCAATATGTAAACTATGACCAAAAGAGAGATACGGCCACGAGAACCAAATCGCACCAATATATGCAACATAAGATGTTATGACATCTAGGGAAACAACTGAATGATGTGTAACTGAAAAAGCTATTCCTTGAAATAACTTCTTTTTTGAAGATTGCTTTACACGTTGTGCCCTTGAAATGTTTTTTTTTATATTTGAACTTTACAATGATCTAAATACGTTACATCCTTCAATCTTGTAAACTTCAATAGCTAGTGTTTGTTTGCTAACCATCTAAGATATGTTAGTCAAATAACAGATGATACACATTCACAGATTAAAATAAGATACCAACAGACTTGCACACTTAATTTTGCTCTAACTATCCCAAACATAGCAAGGTTAACGTTTAATCTGGTATCCAGCATAGTAGTCCACTATTCAAAGTTTCCGTGATTGTAATTGTCT